TTTCCCAAACCACTTTAGATTTCTTGGGTATACCTCGAACGAGAATGTGCAACTCGTGATTCAAATTTATAGGATCTTCCGGAGGACATACCTTATCCAATGTTTCTTGTAAAGGCAGAGGCAAATGAAATGTTCTACCTTTTCCTAAACAGAGTTCGATTATATAAGTTTCTTGATTTAAAATGTGCTATATTTAAATCATTTAATTATTTTTTTCGTTTAAGTACAATTAACAGCAAAAACTGCATATACGTAGGTATGTATTTGACTCTACTGCCATTACTTGAAACAAATACATTATTCGATATTAACAAATTGGAACTCTGGAATTACGAGTAATTATTTTTCATTGTACAGACTAGGTTTAAATTTTTGAGGACCTTCTTTTGAACATGGCTTGACCTTTTCATTTTTATGATTTTTTGGAGATAGGGTGAGAGAGGACGAATGAGGGTAAGAGAAGACGAGATAGGCGAAAGAGGGTGAAAGAGAACGAAAAAGGGTGAGAAAGGACGTACGAGAGTGAAAGAGGTGAGAGAGGGTGAAAGAGGACGAAAGAGGGTGAGAGAGGACGAAAGAGTGTGAAAGAGGTCGAAAGAGGATGAGAGAGGGCGAAAGAGGGTGAGAAAGAATGAAAGAGGGTGAGAGAGGACGAAAGAGAGTGAAAGAAGGTGAAAGAGGACAAAAGAGGGTGAGAAAGAATGAAAGAGGGTGAGAGAGGACGAAAGAGAGTGAAAGAAGGTGAAAGAGGACGAAAGAGGGTAAAAGAGGGTGAGAAAGAATGAAAGAGGGTGAGAGAGGACGAAAGAGAGTGAAAGAGGACGAAAGAGGGTGAAAGAGGACGAAAGAGGGTGAGAGGGAATAAAAGAGTGAGAAAGAGACGAAACAGGGTGAAAGAGGGTGAGAGAGAATGAAAGAGGGTGAGGAGAGGACGAAAGAGGGTGAGAGAGAATGAAAGAGGGTGAGAGGACGAAAGAGGACGAAAGAGGATGAGGTAGGACGAAAGAGGTGAAAGAGGACGAAAGAGGGTGAAAGAGGACGAAGCGGTGAGAGGGAATGAAAGAGGGTGAAAGAGGATGAGAGAGAATGAAAGAGAGTGAAAGAGGACGAAAGAGGGTGAGAGAGAGGGCGAAAGAGGGTGAAAGAGGGTGAGAGAGGACGAAAGAGGGTGAAAAGGCGAAAGAGGGGTGGGAGTGGGGTTGGAGTGGTGGTGGGGGTGGGATGGGGTGGGGTGGGGGCGGAATGTGGGTGGGAAAAGAGTGGGTGGAAGTTGAGGGAGGTGTGAGTGAAAGGTGAGAAGAGATTTATACGCGGACAGAGAAGAAGAAGAAGAAGAAGAAGAAGACGACGTTTCTTAATTTTTCATGAAAAACGTCACTTTTTGACCGCTTGTATCTCCGGAACGGCTTGACCGATTTTATTTTTTCTTGGCTCAAATTACTCGTGGCGATGCCGCCTTTCAGGTTATGTTACGTGCAATTCAAAATTTTTTATATTTTAGTAGTTCTACAGCCCCAAAAAATGGACTTTGATGGTGCAGGATAAGGAGACTTGTAGTGTCTTTTAAGGTCTTTTAGGGTTTGAACATGGCCGGAGACACTACCGCGTCTCCTGATGGTTTGTACATCATGAAAAGTTTTTTTTTACGATAATGAAAAAAATGATATATATGCAAATGCAGTGAAACTGACAGATAAAGAAAAATGGCATAGAGCGTTAGGTCCTGTAAATTTTCAATATTCAAATAAATTGGTTAATGGTAAATTAGTAGAAGGCTTACCAGATAAATTAGAAAATAATATCATGAAATGTGCAAACTGTATCCAAAGTAAAATGGCTAATGTACTGTTTGAAAATAAGAAGACTCACAAGGAGATGACGCCAATTAGAAAATTGCTTTTCCAACGAGTCATAGTGCGTTCGATAGTTTACATGTAGCTAATAAAAACCCTAAAGGCGTTTGTGCCAATGGGCCTTCGTTTAGGAGAAATTACAAAACAAAGTTAGGGTCACGCAACTATGTCCCATGTAAAGAAGAACATTAAAACCTTTTTCGAGTAAGCGGCGTAGTTGAGCCGACTAAGGCTCCCGTCCATACATTTTTGCGCCGGCGTCGTGCGTTCGAGTCCCGCCGACGACTGCTTCGCTTTTTTTTTTTCAATTTTGGATATATAAAAGACACTACATTAATCATTATTTATTTTTTTAAATTTATTTTGTTTTTCTATGTAAAAATAAGGACATTTCGGGATATTTGAACGCAATACGAAATAAAAAACAGTTTTAAAGTCATGAACTGATTATATTTCTCATGCAATGTACATGTGTTATTTTGTCAAGAATATTTTGTACAATATAAACTTTCTTTTATAATTATATATTTATTTACATACGATAAAAGGTTTCCATCGCTTCGCAATGTTGTGGATGAAAGTTGATGTAAAAACATTGGAAACATAAAATTTTTTCGCACCACGAACATTTAATAAATGAATTATGTTGTCCACATACACATGTTTTATTATAAATGTTTGAAGGAAAGCATAATTGATTCACATTTAAAAATATTTCTCTATCGTCAGCTAATTTGGATGCATACCATGCATATTGAAGCATACATTTAAATTTCGGCGCTGATAACAGATAATGAGTTAAAGATTGTATACGAATCGCATCAGCACGAGTATTTAATTGTTTGCTTTCGTCATCTGATTGTGAAATTACATCTGGACAGTTTTGTATTTTCTTAATTATAATTTTCACTTGTCGATAAAAATAAACGTCGCACGGCTGACATATCGGAGTACATTTTGGCAATATAATTTGTAAATTACATGTTGGTTTATTATTTTTGTCGCGAAATATTTCGTTATACATTTGGATGTTTTTTTGTTCTCCCCAAGAATCAACAATAAATAAAAAATTATCCCCGACATACGGCTTAACAACATTTTCTAAATACTGTGCGTATAATGATGTTGTTAATTTGCCCGATTTAGAACATGTAATAACATTTTTACATAATTCTAATAATTTATCTACATCTTTTTGTACGCGTACTCCAAAATTATCAGAAAATTCTTGCAAACAAACAAATACTTTATTTAATAACTTCCCGGATTTCGTCAGCGAATACTGGGCGGTGTATGAATGCGAAACTTTATTTAAATCGCCTATGTACAATTGAACTAATTTTTCTCCAGTGTACGTGTAAGTTCGCGAAACATTAACTCCATGCTCACATCCTGTTTGGTCTGTATTAATTACAAAATCGGGATCGTAATCTGGCGAAATTGCTTGAATTAATGTTTGAAATTGTTCCGCTGATTTTATGACAACTTTTGGTGTAATTGCTTCTTTTTTGGAAACATATCGAACAACGCGACGATTTGATATCCTATAATCGTGTAAAAAATTGGTTAACCACTTGCTGGATGCTACGAAATAAAAAACATTTGTATGTTCTTCGCTGTCTTGTTCTTCTTTTGGCTTGTTATATTGTGCGGCTGCAGCAATAGCCCACTGTTGAAGCAAACGTCGCGTAACTAATTGATTCTTATTTCTTGCTTCTGTGAAGCGATCGTACACATTAGTTTTTATTGTATTTAATTTGTCTCTAAAAGTACCGCCTGACAAAACAGCTTTTTTATATTTCGTAACATCAGAAGGATTGTTTAAATATTTTCTAAAATGATGCTTTAATGTTTTGAAAGATCACTGTGGATGTTCTTGAGCTGTCAGTACGATCTTTAATTTTGTATCGTATGGCACTACTTTATGCGTAGAAATTTTTTTTGGATTTTTTGGATATATGTTAGTAAGTAAGAAACAAAATAATGTATGCGGAAATTAAAAAAATTGATTATATGATTTAATGCAAGAAAACGAAAATTGCCACAATACTACTATGTAATTGCTACAATTTCTCCTGCCGCTCTCTCGGGCCGTCTTTGTCGCTCTCCCTATGAATCGTGTTGCACGCGCATCGACAGGCCGACGCTGCGTGCAACTGCGATTCTCGCAAAAAATACGATAATAAAAACGAAATAACGTAACCGGATCGCACCTCCCCGAAATGAGGGGCGCTCCAGATCCCCGCGTCCTACCCGATCGGGCTTTTTGCCCTTGTGACGGCGCTCCAAAAGCGCACGTCACAAAATAAATGATTTATATGTGTTCGCGAACGCGCTGCGTAAGAAAGGGTCGCGCGGCACAAATGAGCCACTTTTCTGTCAAAAAAAAGAGTTTAATTCTCTAACACAATTCAAAAACTTAACTTAACAAAAACATAAAAAACTTCATACAAATGTTAATTATTTTACACTGAAATCGTAATCAAAATCAAAGTGCGGAATAAGCGGCGGTCGTCAACGAAATTTTAGCGGTTTTACAAGCATGCGGTTTGCGTTATGCGGTTCACGGCGGAAAAGCGATAAGGCTGCTAAGCCGGGTGTGAGCTCGTCTTTTATAATCTTTAGGATGGAGCTCACCTTCGCGTGAAGCGCCAATGATTTTGCGGATTTCGAACGGTGCGCGAGGTGACCTGAGAACATTACGTGTAATTGGCCGCTGTCAAAATTAACGGAAGACGGCTGGCAGAAAGCATGCGCGCGCGGGCGATCGCGATAATTATTGGTTAAAAGAGGCGCCCGTGGTAAGCCGCGCATGCTCCCTGAAAATAATTATTCGGCGGAACGGTTGTGGTACCGTTAATTGTTGATGTTTTGAGGAATGTTTTTTCGAGACAGATTGATTTATGTCGCTGTGTTTTCTCCTCGAAAAACATACAAAAACGATTTGCTGTAAATATCGATTACTCTAGAATCTTATAAAATATTATTTGAACAGAATATTTTATTTTATTATACTGCTAATATTTTCTGATGCGTTTTGAACATTCCCGCCCGCCTTGTCGCGTAGTGACAACAAGTTGTCGAATTTTGGCTGCGGAGTCTCAAGTCGATTATGCGATGAATGAGTGTCGCGAGATGAGAGATGATTTACGCGCCGGCAGGCGGCGTGTCCGCGTCATTCATGCCCGGAATATGATCCGCGCCCGGAAGCATGACCAATTTGACGATCGGGCGCACGAGTTCTGATGTGGCGGTGCGGACTGAGACCACGTGGACGATACCGTCGTCCCCGGGATGCAGTTTCGTGATCCGCGCAAGAGGCCATCGGGTCGGAGGGGTGAGCTCCGAGCGGATGATGCAGAGGTCCCCGACGTGAGGTACGGACTCGGCCTTGAACCATTTGGTGCGGGGGTTGAGACCGTGCACATACTCCGCCGACCACCGCTGCCAAAAATGGTCTCGCATCAGCTGCAGGTAACGCCAGCGTGACAGCGTGGAGGTTGTTTGACCCGTCAACGATGGCTCAGGTACCGCGAGTAACGGTGCTCCGATGATGAAGTGGCCTGGTGTGAGCGCCGAAGTGTCGTCTGGATCGTCTGACAGAGCCTGTAACGGACGAGAATTAAGACACGCTTCTATTTGTGTGAGGAGTGTACTGAGCTTCTCAAACGTAAGAGTAGTTTCGCCGATTACTCGACGAAGATGAAATTTTGTAGATTTTACGGCAGCCTCCCAAAGATCACCGAAGTGAGGGGCCGCTGGCGGATTAAAATGCCAGCGGATCCCTTGTGCTGGCGGCGTGGGCGATGTGATGGCCCTCGGAGGTCGACGCCTTGAAGAGCTCACGTAGCGTCCGATCGGCGCCAATAAATGTTGTGCCGCAGTTGCTGTAGATGTCCGTGCATAGACCTCTGCGCGACACGAAGCGACGTAAGGCGGCGATGAAGGCCTCGGAGCTGTAATCCGAGACGACCTCGAGGTGGATAGCCTTTGACCAAAAACATATGAAGACTGCGATGTATCCCTTCTGTGAGCGATGTCCGCGCCCCTTGCTGGTCCGGATAGAAATGGGTCCCGCGTAGTCCAGGCCAGTACTCAAGAATGGCCGAGTCGGCGTCACTCGGTCACGAGGAAGATTGCCCATAGGAGGTTGTGGAGTGGCAGCTCGCCAGCGCGTGCAAGTGACGCACCGATGCAACTGCTGCTTGACGACGGTCCTTCCACGTGGCACCCAGAATCGAAGGCGAAGTAAACTGAGAGTCATCTGGACGCCGCCATGCAGAGACCGACGATGGCAGGACTCGATCAGCAGTCTCGTCATCCAGGAGGCCGGTGGGACGATCACCGGGTGCTTTTCGTCGTAGGGCAGCAGAGCGTGTTTAAGGCGTCCTCCGACGCGAAGCACACCTTGGTCGTCGAGAAATGGGTTCAGCTTGACCAGTGAACTGCGTGGTGGACCGGGCCGTCCTGCGGTGGTAGCAGCTACCTCGTCAGGGAAGTGGAGCGCCTGCACCACTCGAAGCCACTGGAGTAGAGCGGCGTCCAGCTCGTCAGGATGCAGCGTGCGGCCAGATGTGACCTCCCGGTTCGCCAGGTTGAACCATCGACGACACCAAGCCGTAACGCGCAGCAGCCGATGAAGTGCGGAGAACCGAAGAAGGAGGTCCGGTTCGATGATGACGGAGCTCCTGGTTATCATGCTGGTGGTGCGTTGTTCTGGAAGGTCGTCCTCTGAGATGTCGACCTCTGAGTTGGGCCACGCCACTTTGTCCAGTGCTAACCAGGTAGGTCCTGTCCACCATAATGCGTGGTTGATTAACTCCTCAGGAGTGATTCCTCTCGATGCGCAATCTGCAGGATTGTCTTTCCCGGCGACGTGCCTCCACTGAGCGTCCGGGAGCTGTGTTTGGATATGAGCTACCCGGTTGGCGACGAAAGTTTTCCAGCGGGTGGCGTGTCCCTGGATCCAATGGAGGGTGACCTTGGAATCGGACCACAAGTACACTGGAGTGGACGTCAAGCCGAGCATGCTGCGGACATGCAACATGAGCGTGGTGAGTAAATCGGCAGCGCACAACTCCAGGCGAGGCAGTGAAATTTGCTTGACGGGTGCGACCTTGGATTTCGCCATGAGCAAATTCGCTGATGTTGTCCTTTTTTTAGAGTTGCGGAGGTAAACCGCTGCGGCGTATCCTCGTTCGGAAGCGTCAGCGAAGCCGTGGAGCTGCAGCCTTGAGTGATCGTCGTCGGTGCTGAGCCAGCGGTTAACTCGTAAGGTGCTGAGCAGAGGTAGCTGGTTCAGCAGCTGTTGCCAACGGTGAACATCCTTGACAGACAGTGGAGCGTCCCAGTCCAGCTGCTGAAGCCATGTGGTCTGGATCAGGATCTTCGCCCGAATCACGACAGGCGAGAGCCAGCTCATCGGGTCGAATAGCCGTGCAGTCTCGGCGAGGACTCGTAGCTTCGTGAACTCTGTGACTGAACGTGGCTGTATTGCGAAGGCAAACCAGTCATCTTTAGGATGCCATCGCAGGCCCAAGGTCGAATGGCTCTCTCCGTCCCATGAATGCGGTCCTTGTTGCAGCCGATGCTCTTGAGGGACTCCTGCAAGGACCTTGGAGTTGTTTGAGGCCCACTTCCTCAGTGGAAATCCGCCCGCCGTGCACAGGTGGCGTAGCTCTGTCTGGAGGTTGATGGCATCGTCGAGGTCGTCTGCGCCGGTGACCACGTCGTCGACGTAGCAGTCTCGCCGAAGTGCTGCGGCCCCTAGAGGAAATTGCGTCCCCTCGTCTGCACAGAGTTGTCGCAGCGTCCGTATGGCCAGGAACGGTGCACAAGCCATGCCGTAGGTCACTGTCCGCAGCTCGTATTCTTGGATTTCGTCCGTCTTGTTGTGACGCCACAGGATTGTTTGAAGACGGCAATCCTCAGGATGTACGAGGATTTGGCGGTACATTTTTTCTACGTCGGTGACAAATACGTACCGGTGCCAACGCCATCGCAGCAACACGTCGTTGAGCGCTGGTAGAAGATTCGCCCCTGTCAGCAGATGAGAGTTCAACGAAGTACCGGCCCGTGTGCGTTGAGAGCCGTTGAAGACGACTCGGAGTTTTGTCGTCGTGCTCGACTCCTTCAGGACCCCGTGATGCGGTAAGTAACATCTGCGATCATCCGCTGTCGTTGCAATGTTGACTCTTCATGTGTTGTAGGTCTTCGAACTCCTGCATGAAGTTACGATAGAGGTCGCCAAATCGAGGATCTCGGCTGCCTTTGACCTCCATGGCTCTCAGGAGGCGCTCCGCTGGTCGGCGAGTCTCGTGAAGATTCGTCGGCGGTGACGAAAGTGGCAGCCTCACCATGTACCTCCCTGTGGACGTGCGTGTGACGGTGCGCACATATAATTCCTCGCACGTAGCTTCCTCGGGAGTAAGTGGGGCCCGAGTTATTGGCTCGTTCTCCTGCTCCCAAAAGCGCCGAACGAGGTCGGCGAGGTCGTGATCGGCGGTGCACCGGAATGTGCGGCGATGTCCGTTGATTGTTGTTGCGTCGTAGCCGCCGGACAGGATCCATCCCAGGCTGGTCTGCTGGGCGATCGGCATCCTTGAGTCACCCTTGCGGAGACCTTCCTCGAGGATCAAAGAGTAGACCTCGGCTCCCAGCAGTAGCTCAGCTGGGTCGTCGTCCAGGAAGCGAGGATCGGCCAGCTGGAGTCCGTTGAGATGAGGCCAGCTGCGTTCTTCTCGCGAGACTGAGCCTTGCTGCAATGAAATGCGTGGCAGCACAAAAGCCACCACCCGGAGCTCGGCGTTGGTCACGTCTGACGTGACGTGCAGCGTGACCTTGCCACGAGCTGATCCTGAGCGGGTCCCTCCGATGCCGAAGATCGAGAGATCCGTCGAGACTCGAGGCAGGCGGAGACGTTGCGCCAAGGCCTCAGAAATGATCGACACCTCAGAGCATTGGTCGATCAAGGCGCGTACGACGTGTGGTGAGCCATACCGATCGGCGATGTTAAGTCGAGCTGTAGCAAGAAGAACAGCCTTATGATCTCGATCTTGAAGAGTCGTGGTCAGTGTAGTGGCGCGTGTGGTGACCTCGGCTGCCGGTGAAGACGTGGTCGCTTCGTGCAACGTAGTGTGGTGTCGTGCGTCGCACGTAAGGCAATTCTTCTTTGACTGACAGCGAGATACGAGGTGGTTTCCTAAGCAGTTGTAGCAGAGCTTGTTCGTCTCTACAAATGCTTTACGCTCGTTGACGGTCTTGGCCTTGAAGTCTCGGCAGGTCATCAAGGTGTGCCTTTCACGACACAGTGTACAGTGCGGCGGCTCAGCTCCTTGCTGTTTAGTGAAGTGAGTTTTGGCAATCCGTGAAGTCTCTCCGGGCGGTTTGCTGATGCTCTTCGGTCGTGCGGCATTGAGCGTCAGGATCCGTCGGCTGATAAAATCCACGAATGCCTCGTTTTGTGCCGGCTCTGATGAATCTGACGTGGACGACTCCCATTCCAGCCGCGTGCGTGCGTCAAACAATTCGGTGACTAAGAAGTTGAAGAGGTCCATTCCGTGGGTGTTAATTGGACGTCCAATGCTCTCCTGACCATTGACGGCGGCAGTAACGGCGTTGTGAATGCGTCTCAACTCCTCTGCGGTATCCCTTCATCTTTGGCACGGCGATGAATGTGGCAAAGTTGGAGCGGATCAATTCCTTTTTATTGTTGTAATGTTTGTCCAGGATCGCCCAAGCGCGATCATAATTGTCACTGGTGACAGGTAACGACTTGATTAATTTTTCAGCCGGCCCTGTCAAGCATGAGCGGAGGTGATGAAAGCGTTCGATGTTGGAGATCGCATTGCCACTCACGACGGAGAGGAAGAGATCCCTGAACGACGGCCAATCTGCGTAGGCACCAGAGAATGGCGGTACTTTGATGCGCGACAGTGACGACCTTGGCGCGACGTCGGCAGAAGGAGGTACGCTCGATGCACGAAAGTGTTCAGCGTAGCCGTCAAGTATGCTTCTTTGATTAACGTACAGATTCTCCGTATCAGCGTGCAGTTCTGACTTAAAATAATCGCTCTCGCTGAACTTTTCTTTTAAGGATGCTCGGATAAGATCATGCTGCGCTTCGAACTTCGTCCACAGCTGATCCAAAATTCTGGTGCGTGTGGCGATAGCACTGGTAGTGATATTGGAACTGCCCAGCTTCTTCAAGTACTCCACGGAACGTGAGATGCGGATTTGAATCTCACGCTGACAGTCGACCAGCGTGGGTACATCCATGATGGCTGCACACACAGATGCTCACTTTCTTTACTAACACGAAGAGTCACGCTCGCGAACTTGCGGTTGCCGGTGCGAGGGATCCGGCTCGAAGGACCAGAAATATGTTCGCGAACGCGCTGCGTAAGAAAGGGTCGCGCGGCACAAATGAGCCACTTTTCTGTCAAAAAAAAAGAGTTTAATTCTCTAACACAATTAATAACAAATACACGTTAACAACTTCATACAAATGTTAATTATTTTACACTGAAATCGTAATCAAAATCAAAGTGCGGAATAAGCGGCGGTCGTCAACGAAATTTTAGCGGTTTTACAAGCATGCGGTTTGCGTTATGCGGTTCACGGCGGAAAAGCGATAAGGCTGCTAAGCCGGGTGTGAGCTTGTCTTTTATAATCTTTAGGATGGAGCCCACCTTCGCGTGAAGCGCCAATGATTTTGCGGATTTCGAACGGTGCGCGAGGTGACCTGAGAACATTACGTGTAATTGGCCGCTGTCAAAATTAACGGAAGACGGCTGGCAGAAAGCATGCGCGCGCGGGCGATCGCGATAATTATTGGTGAAAAGAGGCGCCCGTGGTAAGCCGCGCATGCTCCCTGAAAATAATTATTCGGCGGAACGGTTGTGGTACCGTTAATTGTTGATGTTTTGAGGAATGTTTTTTCGAGACAGATTGATTTATGTCGCTGTGTTTTCTCCTCGAAAAACATACAAAAACGATTTGCTGTAAATATCGATTATTCTAGAATCTTATAAAATATTATTCGAACAGAATATTTTATTTTATTATACTGCTAATATTTTCTGATGCGTTTTGAACAATATGAAAGTATTTTTGAAATTGAGCAGATAATAATACTATCATTATCGGAATAGATCAGTAGTTAGATAAGATTGTATTAAAAGAGATAGATTTTATTTTTGATTATATAGATATTGTTAGTATTTATATGTATATATAAAATTTATATATTTATATATATTTGTCTACTATATGCGCACAATAAACATATATAATTTCTATAAAAGCAGGCTATCTCGAGTGGACATAAAACAGATAAAAATAATCTTGTAAGTTCCTATACAATTTTTTTTATAGCGCAAAAAACGGATTTTACGACCGATATTGCTCTTTTTCTATTTTTCTAAAATCCGCGGACACGCCCGCTTCCACACGCGGTCAAAACAAAACTACGAGTCCGATTCGGCTGAAATTTTGACAGTAGCCGTCTACGAGAATGTACTACACGATAGTAAAAAACTCTCTTGCAATACTGGCACCATCGGGCGATGAGGCTAAGTACTTATCGGACTGCCCTCGTATATATATAATATATATATATATATATATATATATATATATATATATATACATATCTACCTATCAATCTATCTATTTAGCTATTTGTCTATTGAACTGCTTTTCGTATTGCATATATATATATATATATATATATATATATGTGTGTGTGTATGTATGTATTGTAACCGTAATTCTTTTTATTCGGTCAGATAACTAGTTATCCGAAAAGTAGGGCCGATGTAATTGGCCGACGGCACACCTTCGGCGCGGAAAGCGGAAAATTCGCGAAGGCACAATAAATTTTCGTTTGCTTGGGCGCCAGGCGCGAGATTCACGCTACTCTAAAAATTCATAACTAGAAAAAGATATTTTGTAAATCTTGAAACATCCTGAAAGTCCGCGACGGCAATACTCGACTCGCTCAGAGCGTCAAGAGGTAGAGGGGGGAGTTCGGACGGGAGAAAGAACGGAGTTCGAGAGTGGCTATTTAGAATCACTCAAATGTAATAGTCATGGAATATATTTTAACAGTAAGGTAAACAAAAAACAAAAAAAAATATAAAAGTTTGAGTGATAGGGTGTACAAAAAAATAATATTTTTTAGATAAGTTACGAATTGAGATCCGCGCACTTGTCGTTTGTGGCGGGCAGAGAGTTTTATGTGACGCCGAAAAACAAAGAAAGCGAAGTCGTATTTTACATTCGGAACGATACTGTACGGCGCATGTACGGCCGAGACGCGGCGCGTTGTTATGATCCCGCGCCTTTGAGACGACCCGACGCGGAGATATCAGGTGACACGCGGGACCCGAAAGTAAACTTGCCCGCATACGTGGCGAATAATTATTAACGCACGAGACTTAATAAGGTCCGTGCGAAGTAATTGATTCTAGTAATCTTGGCAATACGAAACCTTCCATAAACTATAGTAGATCCTGCGCGAGTTCCCCTGAGATTTATCACGTTATCTTTTGCACAATTTCACAAAAGATAGAAAGGATACTCGAATAATCGTATGCGCGAGAAAGAATACGCTATATATCTCATACGCGACTATAGACATGATTACATTCTAAAATTTATAAACTCTAACAGACGAGAGACAGCACAATAACTACGGGACGAGACTTCATTTCTAACATTGGTATAATGAAATCGCGGCGATTGTTGGCGTATCCGCGGGAGAGAGAGCCTCTCTTAATATGCGCGCGGGAGAGAACACGCGGTCAGTCGGGCGCCGGGACAAAGTTCTACGCGTAATACCTTTAAAGGTTTTTGTAACCTCTTGAAAAGACTAATGCGACTTGGCAACCGGCCACGGACACGACACGCGTCTCTCCCGAACAATTACTCGAAAATTAGCGACTTTACAATCAGGGGTCCGTTCGTCTCACCGGTATCTGCGTGTGCGCCGCTGCTTCGGCATCCGAGATCGGGAACCTCTGCACTCTGCCACGTTCCGCCCGACAGTGACAAGCGAGAGGCCCGCCGGAATCACGCCAATAATAAATTGGGCATTTTCCACTCGTGGCGCTCCTTATCCTGGCAGGGCCGCCGGGCGTTTCGCGGGGCCCCGCTCGATGATAATTTCTTTTGCCGTTCCTCTGTTCTTCCGCCTCGAGTTCCGCTGTTCCTTTACATATTTCTCGTCGGGAAGAAGCCTACAAGCGCGCTTCTTTGCTGTTCCTCCAAAAATCCAGATCGATTAATTGATCGATTACGAATTTTTATAGCAGGATAGGTTGAGGCTCGAGGCAGTGTATCTCCCGCGACTTTCGTGTCCGGGGTTCTCTCGCGCCTCGCGAGAGAGTGGCCATCTCCGTGTTTCGCCGGAATCTCTGCGGAAGAGGGAGTATTTAATGGCGGTATCCAGGTTCTTAAAGTGAGGAGGAATTAAGAAAATTGATGTGTGAGAATAATATTTACCGGGCGTGATCCGGACGTGGTGGCCCCTACTCGGTCCGAAATCGTCCTCTTTGTCCTCTCCGTCCTCTCACTCTCTCTCTCTCTTTCGGTTTCTCCGGTTGAGACACGCGTAACCCTAAGCAAAATCGCTCGCCGAAAACGCAAAAAAATCGCTTAAACAAAAAATATGAATAAAAATAATACGTAGGACGGATGCGCGGGGCGCATTGTCCTACGCGGAAGAAAACGCAAAAATTATTTTTCGGGTGCTCTCTCTCTTTCAAGGGTTGGCGAGAGAGCAAAGGTTCCCGAATTTCCCGCCTTCCCGGCCGGGCCTTCGGCTCTTGTGACGAACAAAAAAAAGTCACGTCACAGTATGTGTGTATGTAAGTGTATGTATGCTATATAGAAAATGTTTATAAATAAACTAACCTGTACATCCAGCCTTTCTTGAAGGAAACTCTACGTTTCGAAAGAGGCAAATGTTTGGCGTCATATTCCCGTCCCATTGTATGCACAACACACAAACTCAAACTAACACACTAAAAAAACTAAATATATATTATATGTCAGACTTCACAACGATATGTTGTATACGCTGCTTCGTTGTTACGCGTACGAACGTGTATAGCACCGCACCGACGTGACGTGAGTGAGGAGTCGCACAGTAGATCATATCAACGTATAATACGCGCGGATTACTGTGGTACATACATACTACTGATACCGCGCGAATACGAAAAATCTGACGCGCATTTTTACGTACATAATAAATCGGAATATTTGATAAAAATATATATATATATATATATATTGTTACGTCCGCGACCACCCTTCGAATTATCTCAAAGAAATGTCGCGCGCACTCAAACTCTCACACGCCGGAAATGAATACACTCGCGTAGTAAAGCAATAAACTTTAATATTAGAAGCCAATAAACCGTAACGATACAATATAATATTACGTGCATTGATCTTAATGCAAATATATCCGCCGATCAGCTGTCAGAGGATACGTCCTCACCGCACGACAGCTAGACCAGTACAAAACGCATCGATCGACATAAACAGCTTCTTAGCGACGATAGAAGATCCTGATAGAAGACCCTGATAGAAGACCCTGATAGAAGATCCTAATAGAAAATCCTGACGATTGTATAATACAGGGACGTATCGTCAAACGGGCGGGACACGGACATAACACTTGCCCCCTCCTCTTCAAAATTGTCGTCCCGACAATTAATTCAATAGGACAGATCCAGAACAATTCCTTATAGGAACCTCGCCGAATTACAATCCCCGATGTGACTCCATGTTCTCCCCGAACTGCTGTTCCAGGTACAACGAACTGCACACCATCTTGGGTCCAATCGACTTCACTGATTCCAGGAATTTTCCTCAAAGTCCCAAAAATTCTTCAGGCAAGAGAGGGGTAACATTCCGTGGACTCAACGCCCTTTTAAAGGACTCCTCAAGCCTCTGCCTCGGCATTTGCCCAAAGCCCCCGGGAAAAACCACGGATCAAAATAACCACGGGGTGAGGCAGTCTTCATCCCTTTTGTGAGATAGTCTTCATCCATTTTATCTCTCTCATCTTCATCAGGTCCTTTTTCTTTTTGTTGCCGAATAAGATTTTCCTGAAAAACAAATCTTACGGCAAAAAAATTGAAGAATACACAATTTTATTAAAAGTACAAGTAACCTATCGTGGGTTCCGATTCTAATGCAAGTTTTAACTATAAAAAGGAGCTAATCTATCCGAATGCACAATTTTACATTTGTGCTTATTTGAC